GATTCTGAGAATTTTGATTGGAGGTTTGTTGCTTTGCTGAGCTGTTGAGCTCACTCTTGTTTTCTGGTGGTTTTCAGGTTCTGGGAAAGGGAAGGAAGTCCAGGAATAGATTTCAGAGTCTGATCAGTATAGGTATTATTTTGTACTTTTGATTTTTGTACAGTCATGGCTTTTCTGTTGTCTTTCTTTCTGTCTAAAAGCCATGTACTATATTTGTAGATGATTGTTGTAGATGATTGTTTTGAGGAAAAGAAAAAGATAGATGTTTTGTTCCGCTGTGTTTGATGATTCATAGTAGCTCTGTGTCTGTGTCTCTATTTGAGTTAAATTAGTTGGAAGATTCAGTTCCGAACCAAATTCCATAACTAGATCCTGGTCAGTCTGTTCGTTCCGTGTCGCGACCCGGTGCGAGCGGGATCCGTCCCGGATCGGGTCGGGTCGTGACATGGAGGGTGTCGTCTTTCCACCTTGCGGACAAGGTGGATCTTTGGGAGGGGAGTATTGTTAGACCGGTCCAGGCGGGACCGGTTCACCGGTGGGATCGCAGAACAGGCGGAGATTTTCGCCAGAACGAGCGGCCGACCGCTCATATAGAGCGTTTTAGAAAGGATTTTTGGGGGGTTTCAGAGAGAAATTTGAATGTAGGGACTGTTTAGGGAATTCCTTTTGATTTGTATGCATTAAATAGATGTTTTTCCTAGGGTTTGGGCATCTTGAATTTGGGCTGAAATTTGATTTAGTTTTCTTTGGGCTCTAGCGGCGTCTAGAGATTTTGGAGAGATCGATCCTCCTCTCGAATTGAGGATCAATTGTATCTTTGTTGTTTTCTTTGATTTCTATTGAGATACAAGTAATATCTTGTGTTTTTCTCCTGTTTTTTCCTATTTCCTGCTGCGTTTTCATCGAATTCCTGCTGCTTTGCTGCTGTGGACAGCAGTTGGCTGCTGTAATTTTACGGGTTTGGGATAGAAACACTTGCGAATCCAAGTGTTTCCTATCAGTCATCCACATACACAAGAACGTATATTCTAGATGATCTGCAAGTGTAGAAGAGGAACGAGGGATCAGCTGCACTTGTAGTGAATCCATATGTGACTAAATAGGTGGAGAATGTAGCAAAACATTCCCTGGGCGCTTGTTTGAGGCCATAAATAGCCTTCTTAAGTAGTCACACATGATTAGGATGTTGTAAATCAATGAAGCCTTATGGCTGTGCCATGTAGACAGTCTCATCAAGAGTTCGAAGAAGGAAGGCGTTAGACAAATCTAATTTGCAGGAAAACGGCACAAATGCATGAATCCCGCTTTACAGGCATAGGATTCTATCCTCCTAGGGTCAGATTATAGTTAACCAGATTTCCCCTGAGGGTAGTGTCAGGGTTTAATTAGATATGGGGTCCTTACTTCCCATGAGCGCAATCACTCATAGTTAATTACCTCTCTTAACACGTAAGAGAGAACTATCGATTAAGGATGAATAATTTTAGGTGTTTTAATCTCAATTGTGAAAAAATGGAATGGAATTGTGCAATTGTTGTTGAGAAACTACTCCAATAAAAAGATGAAGTAAATTAGTTATGGCTAGTATGGCAAATACAAGATAAAGCAAAGTTGAGGTAGACTAGCCGAAGCCAGCATAGCAGAGTTACAATATAGAAAAAATAGGTAGGTAAGAAAGCTAGCGGTAATCATTTTAAATAAACTTAAACAAATATAGAGATCTCATTTTATATGGACCTAACACACAACGAAGTGGTACAGTGCCAGAATGTTGTTACTAAAAGAATGTTGTGATCATTGCTACGATTTTAAACAAGAGGCTAAAATAAGAATAGGATAATGAGTACAATATTGTGCAGCAACACATGGTTTTTAATGGGTATGGTTATCTAGGTGAAATACAATGTTTCTGTTGAGTTCAACATCAGATTGCCGCTAAGAGAAGAGAAGCCAAATGTCACGTACATACCAAAGAAAATCTATATATTTGAATAATATTTTGAGATGGGGCTTAATTTTCTATTCGAAGAAGAGGTTAATGACATTCTAATAACCTTCCAGATTATGCCAAAAGTATTTCTCCTGGAGCTTACATTATTTTGTTGGGATTCAACTCGAGTTTGGCAAGCACTTCCATGGAGGAGATTTGCTTTTCCTAGGCCAGGAGTTCCTAACCCTTAAGCATCACTGGACTTTCCTCCACCAACAAAAGTTGGAGGAAAATATATTATTTTGTGAAGCAGACAAAGGGTAGAAATTCTCAACACTAGACTTTGCTCCTAGCAAGGCCTGCCAATTGAGGGAACATAGCGAAGAAATGGTGAAGATTTTTTCCAGCTAAGGTTGAGTAAAGATCATTATGAATTTAAAATATGTTAGAATCCTGGTCTAAGAATCTTGTGCAATGAAGGATAATCCTTTCTCCCAGTTGCCAACAGCCAAGATAGAGCAGATGAGGATTAGGAGAAGGATCAACACAACAAAAGATAAGAAGTTTAAGGCTATTGCCATTTGCCATCAATGCTAAAAGAAAGTGATTGTTGCCGGCTTGCCGCCGACCAGCTGCTACTCCAGAAATCTTCAAGGAAGAGATTAATGAGGCGGGAACTCAAACAAAGCTTCATGTAAAGAGACCTCTTTAAAAACTCTCGGGAGAGAGAAAAAGATAGTCATCAATGAGAAGAGGGTAGAGAAGAGAAAGCAATTAAAGCTTTTGATGAGCAAATCATGTCACATGGTGAGCTAATCGAGCTAAACATCATACACCAATAAAAAGCCCTCCCTTTGAATCTTAGCATGGAGACTAAGTAGAGAACAAGTCTCCTGGAGAGAACAGGGAAGATGCACTCTTTCCCTTTAAAATAGACTCCCGGGAAACTGTTATGGAGTTTCCGAAAGCAAAAAATCTTCCATTCCATGAGCTTAATCCATAGAACTAAAATGTCCGCAGCATCAGTGCATAGTTCCAACACGAGTATTAATGAACTAAGTTTGTTAGCGTTCAACAAGAAAAAATATATTTAAAACTTCAAAGCTTAAAATTTACATGCTTAATCATATTTTTGTCATCGGTGAACTGCCAATATTTTGAAAAAGATTACTTTTGAGAAGTTTATGAAAACATTTATGAATGTCATATGCAAATGTTTGGTTAACTCCGAGAAACCGAATAAAATTACAACCTCAACACTTCTAATTGAAGAATAATACCATAACAAGGGAAAAGAAGATTACACAAATGACAAGTGTTCTTCTCCACTATAGATGCATCAGAAAATTTTGAAGCTTGAAAAGAGTAGTATCAGCCCTTACCACTGAGGGATTTTCTAATGCCTCGGTTGCCCATAAGGGTCTATCATACTTCTTACGTCCCATGAAGGTCCTAATGGGATCCTGCAGTTGAGATGTATTATATCATCTTTGAAAATGAAATATGCATAACATGAACAAATACGTAGTAAATGGCTACTCAAAGATCTGAATTCATCAATTTAATGCAGAATTAACTAATTATGGCATGATTTTTTATTATTTTTTTGGTTTTGCAATTAACGAAGAAGAGTTTACTCACAAACTTATAATAGATTGATCAACTGCACTTGCAACTGCTCATCATTAGAATCCTATCCCAACAATTGGTGGTCATCTCACAGCAACAGCTATTTATGAATATTTACGATGCTGATAATTTCTTATTCAAACTCAAGAAGTACAAAAATATTAGCATCCTTCAACTTCTACAATCGAAGTGAGGAGTTCAAATTCATCTCCACACTACCCCCTAAAACCAGATGGGGGAGGACCGCACAAAAATTGTGCATAATGTATCAAATTTAAAGTTTCGCGAACAGTTGCGACAAGGTAGGAACATGTTTAAACAACAGGTGGCTAAACTTATTTTTTCTAGAATAAATAATTTCTAAGATATAAAGACTCCTACTGTTGAATGCAACAAACAGGAATAGAACAAGCATGAGGAATTTTAAAATGCAGCAGCTGAATGAAAATTCTATGAAGTTATAGTCAAATTTCATGATCTTTTCTGTTGAAACAAGCAAACACAAACATTTACCAAAGAAAAATAAGCATTATACTTGATTTAATGAGCTAAAGTTAGTATCCCACAGTCAACGGTATTCAAAATTGTCCATAAATCATACATGATGCTCGTTATGCAAAGTACTCTTGTCATATTTTCTGCACAACTTAGCTTGGTCTGTTGGTTGGGAGCTTAGGCTATCAACTAAGAGGTCTTGGGTTCGAGTCTTGTGTATGCGATGTGTGTGTGAGTCTGCATTAATTGGCCTAAATTTCCAAAAAAAAAAACTCTTGTCATATTTCCAAGCATCAATCAATTTGAAAGAAAAAAGTATCATGAGGTTTATAGCATGTGAAACAGCTTCTATATGGGGAAGAGTTCTGCACTGTATTTAATAATGTTAATCAGGATATTAAGCTGAAATGTGGATTCATTGAATAGTGATATAAAAGGAATTTAAAGAAATAAAAAGTAACTCTGCTCAATGTTAACCAATATATTTGAAATATAGAACCAAGTTTTTTTATAGCTCAACTGCGCACCTATTCATCATTCTCAAACAACAAAATGAAAAAAAAAAAAAATCCAAATTATTTTACGTAGCATAGTGAACCTTAATCTCCAATTATATAGCCATATGAACCTAGAATGTTTTTTAGCTGCAGCATGAGAACAGCTTGCATTTTGATTCACCTTGTACTTTACCGAAATAGAGTAAGAGCCTAAGGAACGGTTTCCTTCTCGCAGCTCTAAAATATCACGCGCAAGTTGCCTTGCTGTAGCTTCCACAGAAGGGCTGCTGATGCATTCAAAATCATTACACAAATCACCAAAGTCCATTGCATCGACCATCTTATCTGATTCTGATCTTTCATTTATAGCAACAGATTCTTTCTCAATATCTTTCGATTCATCGAGAACTGTCAAGAACATATGTTAAAATTAATTTTAGATAAGAAACAATAGTATTTATAAATTAAGAATCTTGTTTTACCAATCTAGCTGCCAAACTCAATATGAATTTAACAGTACCCTTTCCAAATCAAACATGAAGCTGCAAACAACAATGTGAACACACCAAGAGAACGATTTGATGCATATTCTTTTGATTTCTTAGTAAAAGCCTAATGAAGGGGAAAATACAAAGCTAAGCCAACGAAGATAATTTCCGTCATTATTTTTTTAGGTTTTTGTGCGAAGAGACGCAAGAATTGCATGTTGAGGGCTACCTTGCAATGGCGGAGGTCGAAGATGGCGAGAGGTAGTTGTTCTGAGTTGGAGGCGGCGTTGAGATTGCCAGCGAAGATAAGAAGCGTTGCCGGCGCCGCCGCTCTGGCAGAAGGCGGGGTGCCACGCGAGAACGTTCATCGTGAAATCTCATTCTGACGAGAGCGCGCCATCAGTGGGCTCCAACTATAAAAGGAGAGCCACTCTTTTTCTTCATATTTTTTTCTCCCCTTACCGATTTTCCCCTGGATGGCTGGATGATAGAAACATAGGTAGCCGTTGCGATCCATGTGGATAAGGTGAATCGCATAGAGATTTCTAGAACTCTCGTGGCCATGCGCAGCAAAATCAAATTTTTTCATGGTTTAGCCTAACTAAATTTTGTGTGCAAACAGCAAAGACATTAAATTTTTTTCTCATTCATGATAAATATAGAGGATAATTTAAAAAATAATCTCATAAATAAGATTATCTTATCTCCTCCTAAAATATAGCACCGAATATGACAAATTTCTAAAAAATATTGGACATCACATGAAGATGTAAATAATGAAAGAAAAGTCGATATAGTCTGTTATATTGAAATGTTATATAAGATATTGTTATTTATATTGAAATGACTCAATTAACAAAATTTTACGGATCACCCTCAATAAGACGCACATCTTTTCTATCCAGTGAACGTACGCAGAGGAATGTTCGGTTTAAGCGCCTGTACCGAGGTGTACCGAGTTTTTTCTAAAAACTCAGTACAGACGCTTTTTTGCCTAAAACTGAACCTTCCTCTGCGTATGTTTACTGGATAGAATAAAAGTTCCAATAATACGCACATCTTTTAAATTTGTGATTTGCTTGGGTAATATCCCAACTAAATTATTATGTAAACTGCTTTACATTAATAATACATATTAAGACTTTAATTTAATAAAATGATCAATAAAGTAATCTACGAATTAATCCAAAAACTTTTTTTTAGCCTATAATGAAAGAGTAATGGATTGACGATCACATATTTTTCTCGATTTTCATGCATCTTGATTTGCATGTTGCAACCTCGTAACTAAAATCGATTTCATCTTTTCACTCATGCGGAGATGCAAGCATTATTTCCATCATTTTCAATTATTCTATGTGTTTTGGACACAACGATTAAGTTTGTTTTGTGAATGGAAGTTGTTCAAGCAACATCATGCAACATAGTAGTCATACTCCGTCGATTTTAATCGTTTACGCTCAAATTGATCGTGAGAGGACCTTGGGTAATTTTGATGCTTGATCACATCAGCGCAGTCCATTTTGCGATTCGACATCATTTGAGTAGTTTTGTGCAGAGTCGCACTTACCAAATATCACTTTTTTAACACTTCGATCAAGTCGTGTATGCGTGTCTCTTTCTTGATAAATTCAGTGGTCTAAGTGCATCGATGCAATCAGTTTTGATACATCATCAAAATTTTAACTTGATCGGGCACGAATCTCAATGCAAAATCAAGTGGGAAAACTTCCAAAATTAAAATTGGGGTCGTATGAACTCCAATTTCAGCAAAATTACAGTCAAACTGTGTTAGCATATATTAGATATTAGTTATCTTGTACCTTTACATATTATAAGTTTATCATTACTTTTCTATTAATAGACCCTCTGTACATTCATTTAGCAAAAATAAGAAATATTTCTTCTTTCCACTTCTTCCGTCTCTGTCTCCCTGTTTCGGTCCGTGATTCCTCTGGCTCCTCATCTTGGCCAATTCTTACATGGTATCAGAGCCTAGATGGGAGACCAAAACTCTTCTTCTTCCTTCCCTCCCTCCTCCTCCATTTAACGTCTCAAAAATACAAACCCAACGACACCAAAATCCAACCCAACCCGAGTCCAAATAGGTCCTAGAGCTGTCAACATTTGACCCAACCCGAAAACCTGACCCGAACCCTGACCCTAAAATTTCGGGTTTGGGTCAACCCGAACCCGAACCGGGTCGGGTTCTGGTTAGAGATTTCGACCCGTTTGTAAAACGGGTCAGGTTCGGGTTGACCCGGCAGGTTGCCGGGTTGACCCGCCAACCCGTTTTAACCTAACCACGCAGACATGCCTCGTTGCCGCTGCTGCCACGCAACCACGCGCGTGACCAGGCCCCACGCACTCACCCAGTCGCCCCGCGACGTGACCCCGCACGACCCAACCTCGCTGGCTCGCTGCTGCCGCGCGACCCCGCCCGACCGCGAGCGACCCCTTGTCCGCTCCGCTCGTGGCCACGCCGCCCGCACTCGCGCGACCACGCCTTCTGCCTTTCCCGGGTCGGGTTGGGTCAACCCGGCAACCCGCCGGGTCGGGTCCAGGTTCGCATTTCCGACCCGTTTACCTAACCGGGTCGGGTTAGGGTCGACCCGTTTGAACTCGGGTAAGTTCCGGGTTCGACCCGAACCCGACCCGTGACCCGAAATTGACACCCCTAATAGGTCCAAATCAAGGTTTATAAGCTCTTTTGAAAGGTTTGAACCACAATTTGGATTACCAAATAGTTTCCAAATACAACATGCTTTTAATTGAATCGAGCAGCTCGAGGAGACGAATCCAACGAGCCCAAAATCACCAAATTCCGACATTACTAAGACATTCAAATGTTCATTAAACGGTCCATGATCAAAGGATTCAATATCAGTCATCCATCCAACCACTCTCCATTTGCCCTTGATCTCTCATCTATTTACAGGCCATGCCACTCCATAAATTTTTAAATATACCCCTCCTTTCTCTTGAAAGGGGACCCAAGCAAGAAGAGGAGAAGATAAGAGAAGGAAGAGAAGAAAGAAGCTCCTCCTCGACCATCGCTTGAGTTTCGTCGGAGCACCGTCTAACGTCGTTGCTCCACCGAACCACCACTTGAATCCCTAACCCTCGTTAGACCACGACCTGAGGGCTTTACCCTCGTCGAACCACCACTTGAGGCCCTCACCCTTGTCGAACCACCACTTGAGGCCCTCAACCTCGCTTGACCATCACTTGAGGCCCTTGCTATCGTTGGGCCACCACTTGAGGCCTTCACCTTCGTCGGACCACCACTTAAGGCCCCAACCACCACTTGAGGTCCTCACCCTCACCGGACCATCCTTGAGGCCCTCACATTCGTAGGACACCACTTGAGGCGTTGAACTCCGCAAGACCATCAACTGACACCAAAGTTCTGTCAAGTCGCTGCCGAACTGCTAACTGACGCCCTAACTTCCAAGTGATGCTAGATTTGACACTAGACTTTAACCATACAGTTGACATTTGTAATCTGATCATTCTCAAGGGCGAGTGAGCCCACTGTACTCAACTCAAATTCTAATAAAATTTTTTCAACTAGGCTAGGTCCCGTGGTTTTTTCCCTTTCCAGGGTTTTTCTATGAAAAAATCTTGTATTTTCTGTGTGTGAGTTGGATATTCGTACAACACTAAGACGTAGAATTTAAATTGTATCACCGTGTATATTCTAGCCCACAACAAGTTTTATAATCGAATGACATTTGTGTAGTTTAGATCACGATCAAGGCACTTCACTCGCCACATACTATCTCGTGTTGGTTGGTCCTAATCCTGTCTCTTTTGCTTGCACCAATTTTGACATATATGCGGAGGTCAACCATTCCAAAATTTTACGCCCATTTGAAAGGGATGAAGGATATTAAATATATGCCAATGCAAATAATTGGTCACTATGGATTAAATGGGTTCTACTCCGGCTTGTTCACACATTCTGTAGAAAACCTAAATACCTTTGGCCATCGATAGTGGTTATTGCTGGCAACATCTTTGATCAATGATTAGAGCGTATCGCGTTGTTGGCAATGACGTAATAATTGATGCATGAATTAACTCCAAAGAATTATAAAAATATTTATATCCTTTCATCTAAATCTAAAAAAAAAAAAGATTATTTAAGTTCATAAAATTTGTTATGTTTTTCGAATTTTTAGGGTACATTTAAGAGTAGTTCTAACGTCAAACTAAGTACGGATTGAACTAGAAGGCATTGAAGGAGCAGAATGCGTCGTCTTGCACATTTTGTGTTCCATCCAAGCTTCTACTGCACTTCTTCGCGCCAATCCTCCAATAGCAAACTATTCGTCGGAGGTTTTTGGACGCTTCAACTTCCGTGCTCACCGGCTATCTCATCGATCGATGCGTTTTTTTTGTTTCTTTCCATATCAATCTGCTCACCAGCTGTTTGATGTTTTGCCTGACTGCTTTCTTCGAACAGGACTTTCGTGGTATGTGGACGAAAAGTCTCTCAAAGAAGCATTCTCTTCATTTGGAGAGGTAACAGAAGGTGATTCTTCAATTTTTGTTTCTTTACTGGCCTTTTAGCAATTGCTTGATTTTGTTATGGTGGTATTGGCAATCTACTGCCGTGCAAGTAGTTTGTTTTTGCTTATAATGCATCTAAGTGTTCCTGGATATTGATATGGAGCAATATAGTTTGTGCATATAGCTTGATTAGTCATTTGTGTTGCCTTTAATATGTTGCTGAGAAAATTGCCCCTAAAGTGTCATAAAAATCAGCCATAAACTAGTTTTATGAAAGATAGAAATGAGCATTTGGTATGTTTGTTGATGCATTCAGCGAGTTTTTCCAATTTCCATGTAATGAACATTTTTCCTAATCCATAAATCAAAATTGCATTTCACTAATTCAATTACATGGTTTGTGTCCTAAACTCCTTATGGCCATGCGGCAATACTAACTACTTTTTTTAGTATGTGTTACAACTCCCCCACATACTGGGATAAAGGCTAGATGTTATTGTTGTTGTTGAAGTGTTGCATCTTAAATGTTTATATAAGGCGTCAAAGGAATATACTCTGATCGAATTCTCTAATGACAAATGATTAATGGGTATTTCTACCAGATTCTTTTAATGGGCTATGATATGTAAAAGATTATTGTGAATTTCTCTTGCCTATGATCCTTACATTGCTAATGCCAAAAAAATTGCTTTTTGACAGTCATGCTCCCCACATCACATCTCAATCCCAATGGTGAATTTTTTTAAAATATGTGATTGTTATGTGATCATTAAAAAAAGAATTAACCATCGGTAGATAAAGAGATTTATGACAGGATAACTTGTTATAGTTGTCAATTGCCTATAAAGTAACTTGTGAACTCCTACTATGTTGCCTTAATTGTCCCATTAAATATTGAACTTATGAAACTGTTTTACTAGTTTAGAATGGATTGAGAGTAGACTTGATGATTGTGAATACTTTGAGGTATCAAAAGGAAGGATGAGTGACGAGTGTTAAGGCTGTTGTAGATCTAGAATTTTTTGTTGAAGGTGCCCGCCTTTTATTTTGAATAGGTGCTTGTATTGTCCTCAAAGAAATCTAGCTCATTATGTTGGTTCTATTTTCTTTATCATTTGTTTACCTCCTATGCATTTATCTTTTTTTTTTTAATTGAATCATCTTCATTTTTTAGGCTTATTTGTATCATTTAGGACAAAGCTAAAGTTTGAGCTCGCTGAGGCTCGGCTCATGAGCTCGCTAGCCGGCTCGAAATTATTAAATTTGAATAATCTTAAAAAAAAATTATAAATGCCCGCCTATATTTTGAATTCACACTATGTTCTAAAGTCTGGATGCAAATTTAAAATCCTAGCGTGTGTTTCAAGAACTCATAAATCCCACGCATATCTCAATGGTCTGCCCATCTCTCTCTCTCTCTCTCTCTCTCTCTCTCTCAGCAATTTTAAAAGACCGGACCAGATGAGACCGCGTCAGAGGCTTTTCAGAAGACTAATCGGAGCGGACCAGAGACTGGACGAGCGGCTTGAACTCGTTTATAATGGAACAAGTCGAGCTCGACTTTTGAGCTCAATTCGAGCTCGAGTTCGAGCTCTCTTTCAGCATGATGATCTGAGCTCGATTGTGCCAAAACTCGACTCGTTTACACCCCTAGCTGGAGCACTCAAGATCACAGTGCTAGGGCACTCGAGTACGTAGTGCCGCGGCGTTGTACGAATTAAAAAAAAATCGACAGAAAGAACCTGAAGCCAAGATGGGGGTAACCCGCATGTATCTCAATGGTCTGCCCATCACTCTCTCTGTGTCTCTCTCTCCACCCCCCTAACAATCCTTGAATAATAAATCCTCAATACCTCTCTGTATAATAAACACTCTGACAAACCCAAAAAAGGCTTATTACCTCTCTCTACTCCTGCCCCAGTTTTAAAAGACCGGACTGGATGAGACTGCGTCGGAGGCTTTTCAAGAAGACTAATCGGACCGAACCAGAGGCTAGACGAGCGGCTTGAACTCGTTTATAATGGAACAAGTCGAGCTCGACTTTTGAGCTCAATTCGAGCTCACTTTCAGCATGATGAGCTGAGCTCGATTGTGCCAAAACTCGACTCGTTTACACCCCTAGATGGAGCGCTCATGATCACAGTGCTAGGGCACTCGAGTACGTAGCGCCTCGGCGTTGTACGAATTAAAAAAAATCGACAGAAAGCACCTGAACCCAAGATGGGGGTAACCCGCATGTATCTCAATGGTCTGCCCATCTCTCTCTCTCTGTCTCTCTGTCTTTCTCTCTCTCTCTCTCCCCCCCCCCCCTCTAGCAATCCTTGAATAATAAATCCTAAATATATCTCTGTATAATAAACACTCTGACAAACCCAAAAAAGGCTCATTACCTCTCTCTATCTCTCTCTCTACTCCCGCCCCAATTTTAAAAGACCGGACTGGATGAGACTGCGTCGGAGGCTTTTCAGAAGACTAATCGAACCGCACTGGAGGCTGGATGAGCGGCTCGAACTCGTTTACAATGGAACAAGTCGAGCTCGACTTTTGAGCTCAACTCGAGCTTGAGTTAGAGCTCGCTTTCAGCATGACGAGCTGAGCTCGATTGTGCCAAAACTCGACTCGTTTACACCCATAGCTAGAGCGCTCGGGATGCACAGTGCTAAGGCACTCGAGTACATAGGGCCGTGGCGTTCTACGAATTAAAAAAAAAAAAAAATTGGCATAAAGCACCTTAACCCAAGATGGGGGGTACCACCCCCCCCCCCCCCCACGCTGGGCCTTCCCCCCCCCCCCCCCCCCACACACACACACACACACACACACAACAACAACAACAACAACAACAAACACGACAAACTTTGAGGTCTGAGACAACATAACAACTGAATTGATCAACACAAATGCCTAGTAGCTGCTGAAGTTAACCTTTTATATAACTTAAACAATTAAACTTTGTTGCCCGGGCATGGGGACTCCTGGCAGCTCGATAAATCTTTGACTTAGGTCCTACTTGGCTCCATCGGAGAATGTTGATCTCAGGCAGGAAATGAAGTCAACCTATTCTAGCCTGATTTGTCTTGTTATACAACCTTCAATTACTCACCTTGTGCCTAGGGGTTTGCTTGCTTCTAGCTGATCCTGTTATGTGTTGTTTGATAAGTGATAAGAGTGTGAGATAAGTTATCCATGAGTGCAGCACTACTATTCTGCTCTTGCTCAGTCTGATTTTTTTCCAACTGTTATATGTCTGCTCTGATGATCTACACCATTGCTGTGTAACAAATTATCTTATATTACTTGTATATTTATTCATTCCTAGAGCTTGTAACAATAATGAAGAAGATGATACTTCCCCTCTCTATGTTTGCTGTAGCTTCCTGTATAGAGCGTGTTCCTCAATCTGATTAATACAGCAAACTCCTTCAACATGGTGGAGCGAAGATGGGACAAGCTTCAAGCGATCCACCATAGAACCTTTTTTGAGATGAAAAAATTATTGAAGAAGAAGAGGTCTCGCCAGGATTTTCATGAGAGCAATGCGGACGAGAACAGAGAGAAAGACAGAAAGTAAAGAATGAAGAACATTTTACATTCGATGTCTAGTTATTACAGGAGTTATATAGACAACGTAAAAGCTAGTGGCCAATACAATGACAATACATGTACAAGTAGATAACAATGATATTAACATTTTTACCTCGAAGTTCTCAAGATGAGATTTATTAGGATGTAGGCAAGTTTTAGACTAAGACATTGACATTAGCTTCAAAAACTCTTGTTAATCGTTCTAGCTGCCACCCACGAGCACCATGGAAGTTGAATTGCTGTAATGACATAAAAGAATCACCATCTAGATTTGGCTCCACGCAAGAAGGCTGCAAAATATTTGCTATCTTTAAGCTTTAGCAATTGCTATAAGATATTTGATTCATTGATTTTATTTTCTTCCAAAGGAATCAGAGAACTGAGCTTTTCTTTTGATATAACCTTTGTCTTCCTAACATTCTGATACATTTAAAATTCATCTAATTTAGTTGCATCATATTCATGCTTTTCTCAGTGAGGATCATGTATGACAAAAACACAGGGAGGTCGAGAGGATTTGGGTTTGTCTACTTCTCTAGTGAACACAACGCAAAAAGTGCCAAAGATGCCATGGATGGAAAGGTAAGGATTTCCTTACCCAAATTTGTTGGAAAGTTTTCAAATTTAACAAGAATAATGATGATCGATCCTTACTGTATTGTTTTTACCAGGCATTGCTGGGTCGACCTCTAAGAATAAGCTTTGCTCTGGACAAAGTTCGTGGCGTTCCAGTTGTAGTTCCTCGTGTTTCTTCTTTTGGAGATTCCAGTAGCTAAAAACTTCTATTATTTTATCTTGGATAAACTGACAGATGGAATTTCTTCCCCCATTTATATATACTTGATTAGTTAATAAATTTTGCATTGGGTTACCAATTTCTTGCATTCGAAGTTCCTATAAACTCTTTGGAGTTTTACTGTTCATAAGGTTTGACAGATGGTTATTTGATAAAGAGCCAGCTCCGAATCCTATGTATGGTTATATAAATGTATTTTTGAGTTCATATATCATGTAAGAGGTTATAAAGTTGATATATTTATATTCTATAATTTATAGAAAATTTTTAAATAGATATAATGTTTATGAACAACTTGTGTTCAATTTGATGAGGCTCACATAAAACTAAGGTTTCGTTTGGAACAGTTTTCTTTTTGCTATCTAAAATAAATTTTTAGTATGCAATTTTTTTTTTTAATTAGAAAGTTATTTTAGAAAACAGTAAGAGAGTTGTCCCAAATGAAGTCTTAAATTTTGTCCCGTTAATTTGTTTTATGGGCTTATTTGAATTACATATGAGCTAGCTCAAATTTGGTTCATTGATGCATCCAAAAAGAGGAAAGATTTGACGTTAAGAAAGGTAGGAAAATAAGTACTTAACTAATTATCTTTCAAATAAGTAATCAACATTAGTGTTTTTTCTATCATCTACAAATTTATGTTTAAGTATTCTAAAGATTATCCAACTTCATTCTAATGTACAGCTTGTCATCAACATTTAGAAAATGACATAATTTTTTAATTTTTTTTTTGGCAGGGAAGGGGGGGGGGGACATTTAGA